CCTGGTGCCTTTCCACAGAAGCGCTGTGGCTCGGGCACGGCCGCGCTTTCCCCCTTTCCCCGGGGTCTGCTTGTGCTGCCCGTTGGCCGCCTGTGGCGGCAGCAGCAGCTCACGGGAGGTTTTTCTGTAGCTATTAACCTGCATTGGTCCTTCCTTGGAGATGTGAAGCCTAAAGAAAACTGAAAAACGGGAATGTGCTTCTAAATGGAAACTGCACGGAAATGGACTTGCTCTAGTGCGAGAGTCGGGGCGTGTGCAAGGTGCTGCCGGTGATCTGCTCCCTTAACGTAAACACAGCCCTTGCTGAAGCTCCTCCGATAAATCTTCAAGTAAACTAGTCTTCAGCACTTTCTAAATACTTGTTTTTCCTCAAAAGTGAGGAAAACGGTTGAAGTTACTAAAGAGATTATCTGCTGTGCCTACAGTGGTAAGGGAGCCTTTGCAGTGCTGTGGGGTGAAGCAGAGTGTTTCTCCTTTTCGGGGCCGTTTCTTTACCAGCTAACGAGGAGTTTAGGGTGGTGCCTCACAGCTGCCAGAACTCAAGTCTGATGTGGAATCAGTTGGATCGTTGTTCTTCACCTGCGTAAAGGTCAGGCTGGTGAAGGCAGGCATGTTGGTTGGACAGGGTTCTTCACTGATGGTTGTTCAGAGAGCGTTCTTGCGGAGGAAGCGTAATTCTTTTATTGCAGCGTGTTTGGGGTGGGGTTTTTGTTTGGTTTTTTGTTTGTTTTTTATGGTAACAATTGTTCATTTTTGTTTCGCTTTTGATTGCAAAAGTGGATGTCCTACTGTACGCTCGCATAATGGGGTCTCTTATTCCTCGGGACAGTGACTTTGATGACTGGCAAAGTTGTGCGTCTTGCTGGGCTTTAAATCTTTTTGAAGTAGCATAAAAGGTTGTTTTGTTAAGTAAAGTTGCAGTTCCTGAATGAAGACAAAAAGATGCTTATTAAGAATAAAATACAAAATTAATTATGTATTTATTTCATTTAGTAGTAAGACGGTATCTTTGTTATTGTAAACACTTCTCACTAGTGTCTTCATGTGTTTGTTTTGTTTCAAGTTAAAAGGTCCTCACAGATGCGTGCCTTGTCCGTCACAGTTGTTTTTAATGTCTGTGCAAGATCAGGTGGAGAGGGGAAGTGGTTGTCACATGTAACTGTGCATAAACATTTTTCCTTTTCTTCAGCTAGTTGGAAAACTTGCAGCCTGAGATTAAACAACTAGCTGAGCGTCTTCGCTATGAAGTTTCTGTTCGCGGAAAGCAAGTGGGTTGGTCTGAAAAGGTGGCCAGGTAAGATGGCGATTGCGTATACCTTATAACTCCGTTCCAGATTGTGGGGTAGCAGGAGGGAGCAGCCTTGCAGAAAGATTCTGCCGTCGCCCAAAGCTTAGCTTTTCTTGCCACTTCTGTGACTTGTTTGTGTTTGTTACGTTACCCTTCGGAGTATATCCGTTTTAAAGCTCTGAACTTGTGATAGGCTTACGATTACAGGGCCCAACCCAGGATTGTTTTTGTTGTCTTTACTTGTGGCTAAAGTTTTCCTGACTCTAATGGTATCTAAATATTGCCGGAACAACCATTTGGTCGTGGTCCTGTTCATCGGTTAACGTAGTACTGCACCCCGTGCAGTGGCAGTGTATCTAAGCCCGGGGTACTGAGGATCACGTGACTGGCCGATTGCCTCTGTATCGAGAAAGTTATACTCTAGTTCAGACAAAAAGCACTGCGAAATGAAATATCAGCAAGTTACTGGGAGCTGCCAGTGACAATGGGAAATTTTGTTGTGAAAAGCTGCTTACAGCAACAGGGCTAAAAGCTGTGAGGGAAGGGGGTTGGCAAAGGAGAGGGGCATGTTGGAAGAGGAGAGACTTTCAGGTCTTCCAGAGTTGCGCCTCAAGAAGCCAATTAGACATGCGCACCTTGTAGAACTGTTACTTCAGAATTTGAGAAGTTACTCTGTAACAGGTATCGTGAGAGCATTTTTCTTGTTCTTTCTGAAAGGTTCCACTTTAAGAAGAACCTGCAGAGGATTATTACGGAACTGTACGTTCGCGACAACTGCCATCCCTTCAAAGCCACTTTACTGGTGTGGGTGCAGATTCCAATGTGGGTTTGCGTGTCCCTCGCTTTGCGCAACTGCAGCGTTGGCGCCGCGGACTCAGAAGGTGATTAACCTGAACAGATGCACTCTTAATAGTCGTTTTTTTGTTCGGTTACTGTTTTTCTGGAAGCTTTGTTGGTTAAAGAACGCAATCTTCTGAGCTTGACGTGTAAGCTGGTATAAAAACTATTCCACCGCTAAGTTTTTAATCTTAATATATTTTAAGGATAGGTAAATATCTGATAAAAATAAAAATGAATTTCCAAGACTTTGTTTAGGTACGTGGTACGTGTCGTACTAGATTAAACCACAGTTCACGTAACCAAAGAACTTGCGTCTGGACCACACCTCTACTTTTCTTTGGTTTGAAGTCTTCCAGCAGGTATTTGCGGCATCCAGAGCATCGCTGATCTCTGCTTATACGATCTCATTATTTGTAATAGTGTTGTGAGCTTTGTGGGGTGCCTCTTTAAAAGCAATATCGGGGTCCGAGCACTGAGAGCAATCTGAGGCATTTTGTTAGGCAGTGTGAGCGCTCCATTATTTTGTGGTCTTCTGAACACAGGATTGCTAGAAAAAAAGACAGGTCTTGGGATTTTTCTGGTTCACAAGATAAGCATATTTGGCCAGTAATACTACCTATGTCACAGCACATTTGCTGTCAATCTGTATTTTTTTCTTCTATGTGAAGTACTGTAGACAAGGTGAATGTGGGGGTTTTTCTTCAATGAAAATACTGGTATTTGGATTTTTTTAGAAAAGAGTTTATAGTTTGTTCTTTTAAACAAAAATGTAACCCGGTTTATGGTTATTAAGAAAAATACGATTATTTCAAAACCACAAAATGCGTAGTCAGTGTAGGTCGCTGCATTGCATATTCTCCTCATGGGCTTGTGAAATGGTTGTTGAGATCAGGCAGGTTGACCTGAATCAGCGCCTGTCATGAGCTAAGCTGGATGTCAGGTTGTATCTCTCACCATTTTTTACTTGTATTGATAGCAGACTGCCTTGACATGTGATCTGTTTAACCGAAAGTTTCTGCTTTAATAGTATTTATCGTGTGGATAAAACGTACCTATAAACTTGGATGATTTGATGGTAATACGTGGTAGGGTTCTAGCTAACTTGAGTTACCAGTCATACTTAATTCCGTATTTTCTTTAAACTCCTTTTGTAGTTCAAGAGCAGTTTTCAGCAGGTGGAACGCTGTGGTTTACAGACCTCACGGCACCAGATTCTACGTGGATTTTGCCGGTTTCGCTTGGGCTCGTGAATTTGCTGATAGTGGAGGTATGTTGGTGAAATAAATCGGATGATTGCAAAAGGATAATTCTTTTTGTAGAATTGTAAGACAATATTACCCGGTTATAAAACATGGTAACGTGAGGCCAGATTCAGGTTATCGCTGCTTTAAATGCACTGGGCAGAACTGAAAAATAACTTAATTTTTCTACCCGCATTTGGACGTGCGGGTGTCTCGTTTAGAGATAACAAATTCTGATGTGACGTGCCTCGGATACTTTATTGGCTTTGCTTGAGCCCAGTAAAGCTTAATCTTGACTCTGAAGTTTCTCTTAGGATGATGTTCTAATGAGCTTCCCGGGCGTTCAGCATCCGAAAGCACATGTGGGGTTTTTTGGTTTGTTCTTCACCCCCTCTCCTAATTATTTGTTGCTGCCTTGTGGCCAAAACTAACAATATTATGTGGTGTTTGTAATAAACTGAAAAAATTCAGAACTTGTTAAGATTGCTGGGGAGATAAATCAACTGAAACAGAAAAAGAAAAAAGTCTTTGTTTCCCGTTTTGGGGGGTGATTTAAAGGAAATATTTTTCTTCTTGATTTTTCTGTTAGGTGTTCTCATCAAACTCTAACCATCTGGATTTCATTCTTACTCCATTTTCTTCTTTGTCATGTGGACTGCAGCTGTCTTAAGAGAAAAAAAGTCAGTGTGAGACTGTAGACCTGATTGTGCTTTTGTTCAGTTGTCGATCAGTCGCTTCTGGTCTGTTTCCTGTTGGCAGCCTTTTCTCGGAGGGCTGTGCTTCAGGTCGAGGCCCTGGAACTTTGAGATACGCAAAAGTGGCTACTTAAAGCTATGTTACCTTGAAATGATTGTTAGGTACTCTGCTTGGTTGGTACCGTATTTTCTACGAAGGACTGAACACGTAAAACATCGAACAAGTTAAATGAAAGATTGTAGCAGTGTGTTAATTGAAATGGAGGATACAGAAGAAAAGTAATCGGTGACCAAGAGCGCTGGGTTACAGGGAACCCCGCTGTTGCCTTCTTTCTCGTTTTTAGTTGTTTCAAAATGATCTCGTTTCTAACTGTGGCTTTCTGCCGTTTCAGATCTTTGCTTCGCAAAAAATGGAAGTTTCCAGGTTCCAGAAGCTTGCTACGAATTTCTTCCGAGTGGTGTCGGTAGTAATGATCCCCGTCGCTGCAACGGTCCCCTCTGTAAGTACGGAGTCTTAATGGGGTGTCCCTTAACCTCTGGCTCTGGTATGTTCCTGGTGCTGGAAGAGCAGCCCAAATGCACGGTCTGTTTACCATGCTCTCTGTTACAGCATGCCCTAAAACAAATAAGATGTTTTGTCTATCGATACGTTTAAATTCTTAACATGTCTGGGAATATTTTTGCCCGAGAGGGAAGAATCGGTGAACTCATGGTTTTTAAACACCGTTTTTGCAAACTAGGGCTTGGAAGGATGTTCAGAGCAGGTTAGCATCCTTTTTGTCATCTCAGAAATGAGAGGAAAACTTTATATAAGGACATGCAGGCAAAGGTTTGCCAAGTGTTTGCTTACTGTAAGAGGAACATAGCGTACTTCTTAGATTGGGAAATTTTCCACAATCTTCTTAAAATACTTCTCATTTTTACTAGGTGTTCTGAATACTTTTGCAACTAACTCTCTAGTTGTCTGGCTCATCAACTTAGAGTCTGAAGTATAGAAGTTTAAGTAAGCTTAATATGAATTAATTGATGAACTGTTGTCAAACTTCAGTGTAGATGACTCTTTTTCCCAGAAGAGTTGAGAAAGAGTGAAAAATACGTTTGAAATGGAAGCCATTACTGTTATTGAGAGGAGTGGTTCTAGGTGAGTTGTTTTTCTCGACACCTGGGCGGAACCAGTGGCTGTGGTTCGTGAAGAGCTGCCGGAAACTGTAGCGCTTTCCTTGCGTCCAGGGAGGCTGAACTCGGTATGTGTATTTTTCTCGTTGCAGTCCATGGCGTTGTACTGGCTGTCCTCCAGCTTCGTGGGACTCGTGCACAACCTGTTGCTGCGTTCTCCGACCTTTCGTCGACTGTGTTGCGTACCAAGGACCAAATCGGAGTCGGCTACTCCTTACAGGGATATCGTGTCTGCCTTGACTGCCAAATACAGAGCTGTCCCACAAATGTTGCATGGGTAATTAAGTAGTGCTATTTTATTGAGATGTACTTATTTACTGTAAAATGTTGCAGCCGGAATTAATATTTATTTTCCAAATAAAGCGTTGACTGTCTGGCCATAAAGAGCGATTGTCCGGCACAAATGTGTGTTTATTGGGAAGTTTTGTTTCAAGGGTGGTTGTTCTGCAATTAGAATAGTCCGGTAGTACAGGTTTGTCTCCTGAGTTACTGTCAAGAATTGTGCAGATGAATATTAAGTAAAACTGTGACTCATCTAGGCTGCCTTCTTGTCGTGAAGCTGATCTGACCTACGGGCTAGCGAACAACGAGGTCTTGGTTGAGGGAAAAGGCTAGATGGATGGGTGCTGTAGTTACTGGTTTATTTTATTAAGACGCTGGTGCAGAGTGATTGGCCATCAGGTATAGTCATTCGATATCTGGGTGGTTCATAACAGTTCTGATAGGTAGTTTCCTGTAAGTGCAAAGTAAACTAGCTCGCTGTCAGTCTCTCGTGTGTTAGATTTGGAGTTAGGAGGAGAAGTTTCTTTTATCATTTCTCATGATCAGCTGTTGAGTGACAGTGTTCTGTCTGTATGTACTGAAATGAGGCAGGTAGCACCTTGAAAAAGAATGAATGGTGGTAAGAAACCAAATACTTCATTCAAGTGCATATCAAGTCTCTTTTTTAATGTAGGTCTTAAAGGTCAAGTGCTAATATTTTATCCCTTAAAGGACCCGTGGTTGATATTTTTTTCATGTAACCATCAGTGTCATTACATGTAGGCGCTTCCTGTGAGGGTGTTCAGATTCACATCTCGCCTCGCTCTGCCTACATCTGAAGTCAGCAGACAAACATGGGCGCGAAACTTCGGCGCGCGAACCTCCCTTCGCGCAGAAGCCTGTCCAAGTTCGGTCTCGTGAAAGGTCGTCTTTTTTTCTTAGAGAAGCAGAAATCAGAACAGAGGGCAAAGCATTGCTTGTGCTCTTTGCTCTCAGATGGTTGTCATAGTGCAGAGTCAGGATGATTCATGTTTTAACTGTTGAAGTTAGTGCTCATTAGTCTTTGATAATAGGAAGTGATTTTTAAAATAACTGGTTTTTTTTAAGTCATTAGAGAAAACTCTTTAGCCCTGGGAAAGAGAAGCAGATGGAATACCAGGCAGATGTAGACAGCAGTCACGTGCCTTTGTCGTGGTGGAAAGCATCTGTAGCCTTTTCTTTATTTCTCCTGTGAGTTTGTTTCCTGTCGCCCAGACCCCTGAGCGGAAGATGGGGCTGAAGGAGTTCGTCAAGGTTTGGCATGTAGATAGGGCAGGGATGTTTTTTCAAAAATGTTGTTTGCAACGAAATGTTCCTAATTTTCTGTCCTGATACCACGCTTCAAATTGTTTTTCAGTGGATGTTTTTCAGTTTTTCGCTAGGGGAATGCATGATATATTCTCTCGGGCTTACTTCAGAAGCGTAAAAAAATTCATATAAATTCTGTTTACTTATTGCATTTTATTTGAATGTAGTCTTGCCATACAGTTTTTCAGACTGCAATCTACCCGTTAGGATCGAATGACAGCACTAGCCTTTGGGCTTGGTTTCTCGCTGTAGAATTACGTAGTCTGCTGGCGGCAGGATGAAAGCCGGTTGGTATCCTGATCTGGCTGTGTTTATTCTGAAGAGTCGGGTCCTGGCAACGGCCCGGTAAGGTGACGAGGTGGAAGCGAAATCCTGCGTTTTCCTGAGGTGCCGGGTTGTAGAGGGGTGCAGCCTGCAGGTGAAGGGCAGTTGTTATTCCCTGGCAGTCCTCGAGGCCGCATCTGGATGCTCGGTCTAGTTCTGGGCTCGCCAGTACAACGCAGTGACGTCCTGGAGCAGATCCAGCGGAGGGCTGCTGAGCCGGTCAGGAGGCTGGAGCCCGTGATGTGCTGAGCGCGCTGGATTTCAGTTCAGAGATGGCCTTGCAAAGGGGGGGGGGGGTGGATCGCTGTCTACAAGCAGCTCGCGGGAAGTGCCAAAGGAGAGGGAGCCAAATTCAGCTCAGAAGCGCGTAAAAGAAGGATGAAAGACAACAGGGGCAAGTTGGAAGACAGAACGTTTCAGAATTGATATAAAAACCTGTTTTTTACCTTGAGGATGGTCCAACACCGGGTTTTCTGGAGGAATTGTGGTATCTGCGTCATCGGAGGTACTGGAAATGCCAACTGGGCGAGGCCCTGAGGAACCTGCTTTAATGGGCGCTGTATTGACCAGGGGGTTGGACTAGAGACCTCCAGAATTCCCTTGCCAGCTGCGTGGTTCTGTGATTGCGTTAGGGTCTTATCTGGAGAAAAATCACAAATTAAAACAAACAAACAAACAAAAACAATCCAAACATTTTTCAAGCATACAACTGGGAGCATATTCAGTATTATGGATGGTGTTTCACCAGTTACTGTGTCGGTCAAGACGAGAATGCAGTTAGCTGTTCCTGCACAGGTAATGCTGAAATTCTAGCAGCATCCCATCCTAAGAAGCAAGAGACTGATTGTAGCCTCGCATCATATCAGGGGCTCAGTGATCCTTTTATCTACCTATTTCTTCTTACGAATCACTGACTTGCACCTTTTCTTCCACTTGTATGTACAGTTTGTTTAATAATGTACTGTGTTAATTTTTTTAGAAAGGAGCAGCAATTGAAATCTAAAGTTGTGCTGTTCCAAAATATACCTAGTTCTGAATTCTAACTGTTGCTCAATATTGATTACTGTTTCCTTAAGACTAATGGCAAGCTTGCTACTCTGTAATAAGGTTGCTTTCCCCAAAAGACATTTCATTCCCTTCTGAGATTTCAGTTAGAGGTTGTAGTCTCATTTGCAAACATGTATGCTATTCTTTAAATACAGGAAAATAGGTTAGTTATTATAGTACGGAGGTTGGTATTTAAACTTGTGTTTTGTCTTTAGAGTTGTAGAACGGCTCGCACCACAATGTTGGCACCAAGTCTGGCTGCATGGAAGAACGATGCGATGAAGGTTGGTGAGATATAGGGCTCTTGATGTTGCTCTCGGAATTATAGAAAGAGTGACTTTGTATTCTTTGTCATCTCAAATAGCGTAGCAGGAGTTACTGAGGTGTAGGTGGTGGTTTGGTGTTTGTTTTTTTTTTTTGAGAGTTCAGGTGCTAAGTTTAGCAGTTGATAAATACACCGCAAAATAATCAAAGTTAATAAAAACTCAAAAGCGTATACAGAAGGACTGTAAGGTGTTAGATTTAATGGGAAATGGCCACAGATGTATGTTTTTAGAGTTAATGTAAGGGCAAGCAAGGTCTGGAATGTTTTCAAATGTAACTAAAATCTATTCAACTAAACCCAAACTATAAGGACTAATGGGAAAGCGCTCAGGAGGTGAGTTACTCCGCACTTCTGTTGTACTTGTTTCCTGCACTTTCCTCTGAAATACCTGTTTCTGGGTGCTGCTAGAGGCACTGGGGAGGATGATGGGACGCTGTTTGGGTAGAGCTGGAGCCGTTTGTGGCAGTTTTGGCACCGGAAACCTGGTAACTCGTGCCACACTTGGGGCTTTGCAAGTTGGAGTTCTGTGTGCTGATTCTGACCGGCTCCGGTGCCCTCTGTGATGGGTTAGTCTCTTTTGTCTCGTTTACTCCATCAGTGACATTGCCAAGAACACTAAATCACATTTAGAAAACATTTGCATTTGTTGGGCCGAGGTTCTGAGTTTGGAAACTATTTACGGACTGGTTTTTGTCCTTGCTGCTTTGATAAGTAGTCAGAGTCTGAGATATGAGGCTGGCATGGAAATGGTGTTTGTCTCACTTCTGTGTCCTTGATCCTCCATCTATCTGGTAGAATTCCAGGAAGACAGAAGCTATTTTGTGGTGGTGACATTATTATCCCTCCTCTCTGGAAGGGAGTTAAACATTGCTTTGGTGTTTACTATCGTTTCTGTGTTGGAAAAGAACTGTGTATTAGTAATAAGGATACGAGGTCAACAAAATCCCGTTCAGACTAAAACTGACAAGCAAAAAAAACCCTCATTAATTAACACATTATTTTTAAAAAGTAGATACGAGGTGAGACTCTCTAACTATTCAGCCCTTGCCTTTTAGAAAGACACTGTTCCGGAGTACTTTGGCCAAGGAGTTTCAAATGGGCCAACATCTGGTAAAATCCATGCAAGGCATACAACGGTTGATGACCTCTTTCGTGGCGTAGATAGTGTCACAAGTGAAGCTGCTCTTCTTCAGAAGCACAGACCGTAACAGAGGAACCATGGCATGTCACTGCGGAGAGCGTAGCACAGCTCCTGGTTTGTACCACTGACCTAACGCAAAGAATTTTGCAAAGAGGATTATGTTCCTTTGGAATGTCAGGTAGGGGGGCTCAGTTTTAACCTACCTGTTGCGAAGATAAGAATTCAAATTTCTTTGGCAATTCGGGAAAGCAATTGTACTTCTAATTTCAGACATACTGTGAGAGCAATTTCATTTCTTTTGAGATGTGTCTCACAGAAGGTGCTAGTTTCAGTGAAGTGGATCCCAGAGATAAATTTCATAGGGCTCTGAGTTTTGGTTACCTGCAGCTCCGTAAGTTTCCCAGGAGCAAATAAGCTGTGCCATGTGTCTCGTTTCGGCTGCTCAGATACTGAGGTGATACGATTCTGTCTTATCAAATTTAGCTGTGTTCAGAGTAAAGTTTGTAGCTTTTGTTGCAGTTTAGTGATCTGTATGGCAAAATAAGAGGGGCACCTATGTGTGTGTGTGGGGGGGGAAGCAGAAATTCTGTGCTTTTCAGAACTCTTGTTGGTTAAACGGAAAATTTTGATAGGGTTACAAGTTGACAGTTCATAAAGTTATTTCCTGAAATACCCTGGCTCTCAAAATAAGGAAGACTTGTTCTATCATTACCCAACGCACACGAAGGAACTGTTCCTCTCACCTATTCCTATTTGTGTAGGCTAACATTAGAGAATCTAGGCATTTTCAGGATCTTCTGTTTAGTCAAAAATTCAACATTAGTGCAGTGCTGCTGCTTTGTCTTTGTCAGAAATGTTAGCAATTTTGTATAAGACTTATTTTGTTAGGTGTCCCTCAAGTAGAGGGGGAAGGAAGTGGATCAGAGGAATGTTTTGGGTTGGTTTGTTGTTGTTTTTTCTTCTTCACTCCCTTCAGCCCCTGAATGCGGAGGTACGTACGGAATTTGTCATGAAAGGGAGTGCTGAGAAAAAAAACTGCTTAAGGACAGTCTGCACAGTAGTGGTCCATTCATTGGCTGGCATGAGGCAGCAGATCGGAGTAACTAAGGGTGTTTTTGTTTGTGGAACAGATAGAAACAGCGATCATTATGGAATAGACATTGTAATTCT